GATAGGACAGTCCAACTTTGCCAAGTTATCAATATAACCTATCATCTTAATGACATGTGGGCTAACTGGACTGTCTTTTGGCAGCTTACAGTCAATGAGAGCTTTAACCGTCTGGTATCTCTCAGTTCGTGCTTGCTCCTGAAACATTCCTTTCAGGCTGGTGATCATGTCAATTGGCAATTCCACGTTCTCATATTGCTTCTGCAAGTCTGAGTTCATGGTAGCCAACATGAGACAACACACATCGACCATATCACTGGCATGCTTCTCATAATGATTCCTCTCTGCATGTGGAGCATTGGACTTAGGTTTCTCAGGAGGAAGACTCTTCTCCAGGACATATTCTTTTTTCTCCTGTTTGAGAACAATTCTCAGGTTTCGATACCATTCGAGGAAGTTCGATCCATTCAGCTTGTCCTTCTCAAGGACAGATCGCAGCGAAAATGAGCTGTGAGGGTTTGACATAGCTGGATCAAAAGAATAGGAAATGTTAATATGATGTTCAGGTATTTGAGAAATACAATAATTAAGAAAATTCATATTATATTCAAAGTAAAATTTTCCTCAAAATAAATATAATGATCCAAGATCCATATTTCACTAAAATTCAAGTGATCTTTGGCTCATCGCCCGAATGTCTAGTTATTTAGGTAAGCAACATCTTTGCTAATTATATCATATATAACTCTTGGTTGTTAGACGACATCTTATGTCTTATACAACCTATGCCTCTAAGTCCAAAACCGTTTTGATAACTTAGTCAAGTAAACCAATCTTATTTCATATGGTAACCATTACCATCTATCTCACTTATGTAGTTGTAAATGCCTTGCTTGGCAAGCCCATCAAACAACGAAACAAACCTTGATAGTTGAAAGATTGGATGACATCATATTACTTGAGATTATTGAGGAATTAATTTTAATCCAATTTAGTTTATATTTAAAGTTTATCTAATATAAAGTATCTATATATATATCATATATGTATTTCTATTGGATTGTAAATAATTTAAATTAATTTTAATCTAATTAAAATAATAAATTATTATTAATAATCTTAATAGATTTCAAAACCTTAATCGTATTAGAACTTGAACTAAAAAGATTTTAAAATTAGAACTCGTATCAAAGTAAGAATTCTTGTACTAGGTCGAACGCATGAGGAATCACACCCACACGAATTCACTCACGATATACAAGATGCATATATGTTATTTATTTAAAAATCAAGCAATCATGTATTACCATAATACGTGCTACGTTCATACTTTTAAATCCAATATATGCACAAACTTTATATCTATGGCATGCACATGTTACTAAGTGACAAAAAAAACGCATGTCTCCGATTGTGATAGTAATGATTTTGTACAAATATCAATTATGACAAGCACTATCACACGAACATATAAATTCTGGGAATTACTAATCAAATTATAACTATCAGAATTATTATATGTCAAAGATTCAACGAACATACTGATTTATTTAAAATCATAAAACTCATAGTTTAATCAAATCAATATTCACACAAACATATTTCATTAAATTTCATAAATTTAAACATGTTCAAACTAATTAAATTGACATGTATATCACATATATATGTTAGATTCAAAATTAGTATTAAGCAAATTGCTCTGATACTACTGTTGGAATTCATACCGATTCATTACGATTGGAAAAACGACTTATTTCCCCTCCCCCCGCAAGTTTCATATAGTAACAGAACCCCCTCAAGTTTTAACCTCGTCCTATATCCTCCCCTCGGTAAACTTGTAAACCCGAATCCCCCCAATTGGAAAGTTTAATACTTATATAGCCCTAAAACGAAAGTTCAATACTAATATACACCTATACCCGGATTAACGCTGGTTTACTGTTTACCAAAAACTGTTTTGACCAGTTAAAACCAAGATTGACCGAATTAAAATCCGATTAAACGTCTAAACCAAAAATTGACACGTAATCCTGACCCAATTACAAAATTTGACCCGTAAGCCTTACCAAAAAACCCGACCTAAACCCGATTACGTTTAAACTATCATTTTTCCCCAAATCCTAATTCCTCAAGAACCCTAAATCGAGAATCCCCAATCCTCAAATCGGAAACCCTAAATTGAAATCTCAAATCCGAATCAAACCCCAATCTCGAATCAAACTTCTATCCCGAATCAAACCCTAATCCCGATTCACCTCAATCTTTGATTTCTTCTGCAAATGTCGATAGTGGAGTGGCAAGCTGGTTATGATTCTGACGGTGAAAATCGTAGGGAGCGTGACGACTTCAACATCGAGGAAGCCATTGCTGCGTTTGAAGATGAGCCTTCTATGAGGCACAATGTGTACCCAGACCTGGATGGAGAAGATGCGACTCGACAGAAAGCTCGGAGGCGTGAAGATTGGGGAAGAGGAAATGGAAACTTGTACTTGGGACAGCTGTTCATCAGTGGTATTGCGTTCAAGGAAGATGTCCTGGACTATGTTTTGAAGAATGGTTACAATCTGAGTCAGTTCAGGTATGAGAAGAAGAAGCTTGGCTTTGAGTGTAAGGGAGATAACTGTTCATGGCGCATCTACTGCTCTCGACCAGGTAACAATACAATGTGGGAGGTTGTGAAGTTTGAGTCTGTTCATTGTTGTGTTCCGAATGGAGTTTGCACGATGTTCAAGGTGCATGTGATAACTCGGTTGTTTGTCGACAAGATTCGTGAAGAACCAGAATACTTCATGCCTATGAAGATTGAGCAGCTGGTTATGGAGAAGTGAAAGATATGTGTGTCAAGGCCTCAATGCCAGCATGCCTGAAATAAAGCTCTGCGATGGATTGCAAGAGAGTATGAGGAGCAGTTTGCATGTCTTCGGGATTATGCAAAAGAGATAGAAGTATCAAATCATGGATCTTCCGTGGAGGTTGATTGTGTGATAAATGAAAAAGGTAAACATGTCTTTCAACGCTTCTATGTCTGTTTCGAGAACCTCAGAAGATCATGGAAAGAAAACTGTAGGCCGATGATAGGAGTGGATGGTTGTTTCTTAAAAACTGTCCACAAAGGGGAGTTGTTTGTTGCAAATGGTCGAGATGCAGACAATTGGATTTACCCAGTCGCATTGGCTGTAGTTCAGAAGGACAATGCTGATAATTGGGGTTGGTTCTTTGGTAAGATCAAGCATGATTTAGTCCTAGAAGATGGAGATGGTTATGTTTTAATCTCTGATCGCCAAAAGGTACAACTTGTAGTAAGATTTTGCTTACTTTTGCCTGTATAGATTCTTACAAATGCGATTTGTTTTTGCAGGGATTGATCAGTGCTGTTAAGCAAATCCTGCCAAGGATTGAGCATCGAATGTGTACAAGACACATTTACATGAACTTGAAGTCTCGACATGCAAAGAATCCAGAGTTGAAGGGTTTGATTTGGCACTTGGCTTGGAGCTACAATGAGCAAGAATTTAGGCAGAATTTGCAGAAGATAGAGCTATATGATGAAGCTTTGTACCGAGATTTGCTGAAAACAAAACCAGAGACATGGTGCAGGGCATTCTACAAACTTGGACCTTGTTGTGAGGATGTGGAAAACAATTCAGTTGAATCATTTAACAACTCCATAGGTATGTATTCGAATCCTTCTTTATATTCGATTTATGTTGAATCCTTCTCTATCATATATGTTTGGGGCATGTATTTTTCATTTTTCTATGCAGTTAAAGCAAGGGATAAGGCCTTAGTGCCTATGCTAGAGACCATTGCCAAACTTGCAATGGTTCGTATAGCCAAGAGGGATGTCCAGGCCATGAACTACGATGGATTGTGTACTCCATATGTGAAGAAATACTTAGCAGAGCTGCATGACAAAGCTGCAGAATGCTTTGTTAGACCATCCACTAACATGCAATTTGCTGCTACAATCGATGGATGTACTCACCGAGTGGACTTGACTAACAGAACTTGTAACTGCGGAAGATGGGAGATATCTAGTATCCCATGTGAGCATGCGGATAGTGTGATGATCCGCAGGGGATTTGAAGCTCAGTATTATGTTTGCCATTGGTTTAGGACCGATAAGTGGAGGAGGCTCTATGCAGATGGTATTGTGCCATTGAGAGGTTCTAAATTTTGGCCTGTTGGAGAAGACCCACCGATAGTTCACCCTGAGATCCCAAACATGCCTGGTCGGAAGAAAGATAAAGACAAGGTTACAAAGGAGGATAAAAAGAGGAAGAGAGGGAAGAATGAGTCTCCCACTAAGAAGGCAGACCCGATGATGAAGAGGAGGACTATGCATTGTGGGATTTGTGGACAAGGAGGACACAACTCTCAGTTGCATAATAAGAAGAAGAAATCATCAGCTATGGTAATACATTACCATTCTTCTTTCTTTGTTATGCATTTCATCTTTGAAATTTTTGGTAATGCTTATTGTTATTTGATTTTCTCAGGTTCAGGGACCTGAAACATCATCTCAAGTGGAATCCTCATCTCAAGTGGAATCCTCATCTCAAGTGGAATCATCACAAGGAGTTCTCACCCAGCTTTGAAAGTGAAGAAGTGTTTAGAACCTGTTTTCAAGTATTTGATGCGTTTAGAACCTGTTTTCAATATATTGTATGGCTGTTTTTTTTAACCTCTTTCAGCTTGTGTTAGCGGCAATGCATTCTAGTTATGTTATGGTGTAATGATCAGACATATGGATGCTCTTTTAGGTATAATGATCATCGAATTCAGTTGGTACTCTTTTAGGTGTAATGATCTACTTATATTGATGCTTAGTTATATTGTTGCTCTAGTTATATTGAATCAGGTTTGAGAGACAAATTTTCAAATAACAATACACAAATTGATAATCTTTTTTTGCCAAATAACAAGGGTCTTGCTAAATAACAAGGGTCTCAAATTACAAATACAAAGTGATAACAAATCACAAGCTCAAATAGCAACAATGACTCAAATGTAGCAACAAAGTTAACAAAGCTTTCAAGCATCAACCTACAAGCTTCCTACAAGCTTCCTACAAGCTTACTACTTACAAGCAAAGCATCAACCTACAAGTTTGATACACCCAACAACAATCATGCATCCAAAACAGACAAGTAACGCCATTTTCTTCATCTCGGATTTAGCTTCAGCTATAACTTCTTCCACTCTTTCAAAATTCTCTTTCTCTAGCTTCATTTGGAGATCTTCAAACATCTTCTTCTCTGCCTCCATAGACCTACTCGTAATGTCTGCCACCACTTGTTCAAGTTTTTCAGTTCTTATTGTCAATGCATCAATCTCATTCAACAATGCCTCATTGACCCACTTGAAAATGTGGTTATCATTTGACAGCTACAACAACCGATAACGATGATAATCAAAATTTACATATCCTAAAACCATTTCACATTGACACGAAAACCCATAGCCACTAACCTTTTTCTCTACGGCAAATGCACACCGATAGTATCTACGGTACGGATTGGCATCAGACTTCAATGTTCTTGGGATGATTACTTCCCCACACCAACATCTTTTAGACACACCCGAACTTCTTCTTTCTCGACCACCTGATGTGATACTCGAAGCACCAGGTTCGTTGTTCATCATCGTCTTCTTCTTTCTTCTTCTTTCGCGACCAGATTATATGATTTAGGGTTCCTCGACTGATTTGGGGATTTTCAAATTTGTAATGAACAGATAAATTGTGTTGGGTCGGGTTATAGGTCGGGTTATAGATCGGGGTCAGATTATTCGGGTTTTCAAAACCGATATGGAATCGAGAATCACGGTTTCGTATACTGTTAAGCTCATAAACCAGTAAAATCAATAACCAGAGCTATATAAGCATTAAACTTTCCAATTGCGGGGATCCGGGTTTACAAATTTACCGAGGGGAGGATATAGGACGAGGTTAAAACTTGAGGGGGTTCTGTTACTATATGAAACTTGCGGGGGGAAATAAGTCGTTTTCCCATTACGATTTATAAAACTAATTATGAATTCAATTTCCAAGATCTCAAGCAAATACTAAATTGAATCTAAGTCAGCAGATTTAGAGTATACCTGCAGCGGAAAGATGAATAGAAAAACAAAGTTGTATAACACTCTAAACGTCATGTCTCTACCGGTATCCACACGCACACAAACTAAATCAAGACGGGATGCTAGTGCCGCAGAGATCAAATCTCAATGCTTGACAAAACTTTTTGTCTCTGTATTATGTTTTGGGTTTTAACGTAAGAGACTACCTTAATTAAACATCTCATTATATCCTTATATAATGAAATCACGTTGACCTAGCATATTAATGCTTAATGGGCCAAAGGCCAAACTTGTATAACAAAATCGGTAACGTAACTTATGTTTAATTGTTTATGTGCATGTATATAATATATGTTATATATATATTATTCCTTTTAGTACTCATGTATTTTAAGTATATGTCATATCTCATATAACATGTATTATTCTAAACCCAACATATGATCAATCTAGTTTGCTTAGGTATGTGATCTTGTAGGATCATATAACATTAGCAACAAATTCATAACCCGTAGATTATAAACGGTTTCTAGCAAAGCATTATAACCACCTAATATTATATAATTGTCAAACCTTGACGTTACAACTTCAACTAGAGAAATACGGTTGATTTTAGGACATTCCCAACACACCCTAATGGACACCGATAGTTACGCCACCGATTCTTCAACGGAGAGTTACGATTCTCCGGCGGAGAGTTACAATCCTCTGGCGGATACTCTCCAGTTATGCGTGGGGAAACGTTGTATCATCATCCAGCTGACTCACTGCGACCGTGTCCCCGATGTCCTCCGGAGTTTCCTCACGGATGCAGAAACAACATTCGTTGGTGTTTGGAACAGTCAAGATGCAAGAAAGCTAGATCGATCTAGACATCATTTGGAGATCGGAGAGCTTCTTGACGTGAGGAAGTACGTTCAAGATTCAGAAGGTAATAGTCTGAGAGGTCGTTCGTTCGAGGAAATTGTTGAGACATGCATGGGTTATCAAGGAGTAAGGCTAGATCGGGAGATAAGCAAGAGTGATTGGAGTGTTGACACCTTGGCCTTGATCAGATACTTCAGGCGTCAATAGATGCTTTTGTTTGCTTCAAGCTCGGTGTTTGGGCTCGTCTTTGGGAAGTCTCTGAAGAATAAGAACCATCAAAAAGACATCTACTAATTAATGTTCCGAATGTTTCAGGTTTTTAGACCAAAACAAAAAATGTTTCATGTTTTTCTTTTTTGTTAGGCTTTGCGTTATAGAAAATGTAAATCTTTAATATTTTCTGCGTCTTGGTCATCGACTTCCACCGTCTATGCTGTTTTCTTATTCTGATAATTCCTTCAGTTTATATTGTGTACTTACGCTCTATGTAGATGTATGTTTTATGTAATGTTATTTGGTTTAATGTTTTTATGTAATGTTACTATTGAAGAATTTGTACTCAGTACGTTGTAAGTTGAAGTTGATAGAAAATAATTATTACTAGGCTTTAACAGAACAACCTTAATCAATTTATCAATATTTTTTGGTTTAATGCTCCCGACCAAACCAAGATGTACCAAAATGCATACCCAAATTTTGCTTCATGGTTCAATGCTGTTAGCCTGTTACAGTCTTCTTTTATTTATTCAATCCAACATATTCAACCAAAACATTGCCGATGGATAAGGTGTTTCAAGTGATTATATATGCCCTAAGAAGAGCTTTATGTTTCAAAGATTCATTTTCATGGAGCCATAGAGAAAAGGTCAAAAGCGCATCTGATCTTTAGTGCCTCGACTTCATAGATAGCCATGCATTCTCAGGCACAAAATCCTTGAATATCCCTCTTCTGAGAACCTGTGTTTTTCACACCCAGAGGAAAAGAAAGTTGTATAAACTACAGTAATATGCTGAGATGAATTCACCTAGACATGCTCAATAGAAACCATTATGACATGCAGATTCATTTGCGCTCTTCTTGTTGCTTGGCTCAGACTTTATATAAGACTTTACAAACAGTATGGTGAGAAAAGCAAAGAAAATAGAGCAAATGATTATCTACCTTCTTAAGAATCATCATCATTATCGTCTGATTCAGGCTTCATTTCTACAGGCTTAATTTCCTGAAATGCAAACGAAAAAAACATTTTGAGATGACAACTATTTATGAAAAAGAAACATTGGATTATACTTCCATAATCGAAAACCAAGTCTAGCTTCGAATATCGAATCCAAACATAATCATTTTGTGTGACATGACATAACATAACATAACATAACATAAACAAGTTCATGATCAAGAAAAAATTACAAAACATGATCAAACAAATTAACACAACAACAAGAACGTAAATATGATCAATACAGAGGCAAAAACCGAGCCCTAAGCAACATATTCATTACAAAGCAAAAGAAAAATTGACGGTGGGAAAAAAAATTCAAGAAAAGCAAGGAAAAAAAAACTTGGAAGTAGAACAGAACCCTAACAACATAATCGTGCTGAATATAATCGAATAGAATACAGAAGCCTAAAATCAAAATCAGATTATACAAATAAACACATACAAAGGGCTGCTACAGCCTACAGTGCTACGATATATGGCGCACGTAAATGTCGTTTTTCTCAGTTTCTGCATTAAAACAAAAAAGGGAATTTGAAGAATTTATAGTTTGGAAACTGTAGAGAATTGAAACAGATTAAACATTTCTTGGAGAATTTGAAGTGATGAATGAAAGAATGATTGTAATACTTGGAAATCAAGACATTAGTCTTTCTATACAATTTCAAACTAAGCATAAGCATTAAAAAAAAAAAACCTAGATTCTGCAGAGTTTCAGATTACACAACCCTTAAGCAGGCTCAAGCTCTGAGAGCTCTTTTTCCAGCTTGGCCATTCCTCTCTCCACATACACAATGGTTCTCCACAACACCATCCTGCTTTCCATTTTCATGCCTTAAAACAAAAAAGTGAATTTGAAGAATTTATAGTTTGGAAACTGTAGAGAAGTGAAACAGATTAAACATTTCTTGGAGAATTTGATGTGATGAATGAAAGAATGACTGTAAAACTTGAAAATCAAGACATTAGTCTTTCTATACAATTTCAAACTAAAAAAAAAAAAAAAAACTAGAATCTGCGGAGTCTCAGATTACACAACCCTTAAGATGCCTCAATCTCTGAGAGCTCTTTTTCCAGCTTGGACATTCCTCTCTCCACATACACATTAGTTCTCCACAACACCATTCTGCTTTCCATTTTCATGCCTTCAATCACACATAGTCTCCGAAGCAGACCCTTAACGAATCTGTACTCGCTCATACCAAACCATTCATTTTGTTTCTTCACAATGCTTTCAACATCTCTGAAAGCTCTCCTCACGATTCCAACTTCCATTCCTCTTTCCACGAGCTCATTCACCGAATCTACCATCTTATCTGCAATCACATTAACGGATTCTGCGTAGCTTCTGATATCTACCACGTGAATTGCTGCACAGAAGGCACCAACAAACGTCAAGACCCAGCAACTGTTATCTACCAACAACTCTCTTGGTGGGTTTAGCCTTCTGCTTATCTCTGGGAGAAGACTCTTCATCACAGGAATCACAAAATGTTCCTTTTCGAGCCACATTATCAAGCACTGGAAGATATAAACAGCTCTCTCGAACTCTGTTTTGCTTTTCGATACGATATAGTCTCGTAGCTCGTACCATACCTCAAATTCAAAGTTCATCATCTCATACGCAACGTGGTACACCACCCCACCAAAGACTCTGAAATCGCTCTCTGAGATTCCTTCTCTCCAGAGGCAAGAGATGATCAATGGCTGGAGCTCTCTTATCACAGGAACATCAATCTCCTCCTTCCTCGAAGTGTGGTCATCGAGCATGACGTTGAGCCGTCTGATCGCCAAAAATCTCGACCTCTCTTCAAGAATATTCGACGCCAAGATTCTCAAGATTTGAAGTGGCGATAAGGTTTTCAAACAATCGAACCATTCACGTTCAGAGACGGGTCGTCTTTGTTGTGGCTGATTGTTGCTAGACTTAATCATACGATGGATTATCTTCGCAGCCTCCTTAGTGCGTGTTCCGAGCTCTCTGATCTTGAACATGAAGGCAGACACGAAATCTCGCTGCTCCTTATTGTAGTTACAAAAGCTCATGTCTCGTGAAAGAAACCTCGCGAGATCTTGAAGCGCTCGTAGCAGAAACTGTTCCATTCCCTTCTCCACAAGCTCGCTTGCCGACCTCACAAGAACAGAAAGAAGAACCTTTACCAAATCGAATCTCAACTCTGAATCCATAAGCTGAATCCCCATTTTAACGACAGTCTTTAAAGCCAAACACCAATCTCCGACTCTATCTTCCTCAGGATTAAGCAACACAATCTTCGCCTTCTCCAATAGACTCTGCATAAACCTGTAGATGAATCTCCCGTAAACCGGAGGCAAATCGATAAAGACGTGAAAAGCCTTTAGAGGCTCGCTAATCGCAAGCTCGAGGATACAATCACTGAGCTCGTCCCATCCGCCATTATCCAACATCAAAACATCGTAAGCTACAAGAGAAACGATTCTTCCGAGGAACTTCATGTCAGATTCCTTGGTTCCTCGCATCGTCAAGCATGAAATCAAAACGGGCTTGATCTCGTCGAGCCCGATGAGATTGAGTTCGATTCTGCGGTTTCTAAATTCGGCGAGGGTTTCGGAGAGGAGATGGATCGATTGGGATCTGACGATGGCACTGGAAGAAGATCGGTAAAGATTGAGAAGCTTTAGGGTTAGGCAATTCGGGAATTTGGCGGCGCAGAAGTTGTACAGAGCAAACGCCGTTTTAAACTCGGTGGTTTCTTGAGGCAAGGTGAGTCGATTGAGGACGTTCTCGAGTCCGTCGTGGGTTGGAGTCTTGAGGATTTCTCTGGATTGCCTCATGAAACCCGAAGATTCCGCCATTGAAGCTTCTGCAGAATATGTAGGGAGTTTAGGAGATTTATTGATGGAACTGTATTTATACATCACTGAGTAGGCCGCTTATACAAAATACAAAATACAAAATAGGATAAATATATACAACTAATTCGAATTTTTTTTTTTCGTCAACTAATTCGAGATTATCTCCAAAACATCAGTTATTATCTCTGAAAAATTATATTCATGATGATATAAATTTATCCACAAAATAGATTCTGCGATTTTGCCGAGATTTTTTTTTGGTTTTTTTTTGTGTTAGAGCTTTTTAGGTTTGAGAAATTAGAGCAATATCAGATATATTATGGTTGTAGTTCCGAACCGATTGGTTCATATAATTTTCCCTACCCGACATTATAATCATACCTTTGTTAATTTTCTTTTTCAGAATCATGTAATAAACTGGAAATAATAATAAAAACAAAAACAACAAACGACCTGAATTATGTACCATTTTTATACATAGTTTCACTTAAAATAAAACCCGATAAATCGTAGAAAACTAAACCATACCGAACCCAAGTACATATGGTTTTAAATGGTTTAAGTTTTCATAAGACGGATAAATCATAAAACCGAAAAAGCCAAACCGTAAACCGGACTGCCCACTTCTAAACATGCTTAAAAGAGTCGGTTGAGTAGAAAGTAAAGAGATGGAATCAAAAAATTGTGTTACTCCGAAACATTGATTAAACCCATAATCAGCATAAACACAAAACAACACACACTGATAAGCCTTTAACTGAATAATGATGAGAGTTTTTGAGTTATCTACCCAAATAACTACAAATCCCAAAAAATAGAATAAAACAGAGATTAGCCACTTCATCTAACTTTTACTGCCTCCACTTCATAGATTAGCCACTTATTCTTAGGCACACCTTCCTTCGATTCCTTCTCTGAGTACCTGTGTTTATCACATCCAGAGCAAAAGAACAGATTGTATAAACTATAGTAATATGCTGAGGTGAATCAACCAGACATGCTCTAATGAAACCATTGTGACTACCCGAGAGATGGTGGAATTATTAGCCTTCTCTTCTCACCAACTCGCATGCCTGAGAATTAGAGATAAGGATATCAAAAATTAATGAATTTTCAGTTGAAATCATCAACAAATTTAGCAACTAGACATACCTTCGACGCCAATACTGAGTCCTTTTATGACCTTCTCTTCACCTGCAAGGAGAAGCATTACATAACTAGACAAAAGCTGATTGTGTTTGAGGAGAAACAACAATGGCAAAACAATATTTAAGAAAATATTTACCTAATCGAAATCTCAAGGGATCGTCTCCCAAGTTTGAACTCAACACTTTCCCGGTGTCTTTTAACTTCTCAGTATAGAGTATGCTCACCTGAAACAACCATCAATCGTTTTGAAGAATTTTCATGGTGCTGGGAATTGAGTCAGCATCAAGATTGCATATTAGATAAGATGTATAGAAAACAAAAACTCACTTTTTTGCCATTAGCAGCTGCTTTTCCATCAACCTTGGCTTCTTCAAGCACTTCAATGCTAACTTCATCTGGTGAAGAAGTAACTGATTCTACTGGTTTATTGGTACCAGCTTCTTTCTCGTTGTTCCTATTTAGTATAGAAATAAAATTGGTAAGAATAGTTTATCCTAAAACACCAATAAAAATCAAGAAAATATCCACTCAAACCTAAAAGACAACACTAAAAGAGACAACTTGTCTCAGGAAACCAAAGTTGATCATACCATCTACCTTGTATTTGCAGACTATAACATATATTCAATTGAAAATTCTACATAAAATGAACGGTACGACTCACTTGTCAGTTTCAGTAGCTTGTTTCTTCTTCTCTTTAGTTTCCTCTCTCTTATCCCTCTTCCTCTTTTTCTTTGATGGGGTTGCATCCCCATTCTGAGAGAGCAATACATCATTTGCTGATTCAATCTCCCTGCCATCATAAAACAGTAATACCAATGAGGAAATGATAACAATGATATGAACTTTCTAATGGATTGTTCAACTGTATATGAAACGTCAACTTGTGAAGAAAATGAGTAACTTGGATAAGAAAAAATCAGCAAGCACACTTGACCCGTTATTTTAACACTGGCGACTGATGTATAATCACGTTTGATATCGATCTACTTATATCATATACAGTAAAATTGTTCATTCCATTCTCTTAACTCAACCTAGCGTCTTCTAAAATCCTGAAAGCTAGAAGGTAACATAATCTGTTCAGTAGTATGATACAACTTACTTGTCAGTGGCTTGCTTCTCATTCTGTTCAGGCATAAGTTTTTCCCCTCCGTCATCTAAGTCAATTACAGCTGAAGTCTTGGACTTATCCTTCTTTCGTTTTTTCTTTGCAACAGCTTCACCTTCTTTCTGAACGGCAGGATGCTCAACATCACCCGATGGTTTATCCTTCCTGAAATATTACACATATTTGGTTTATAAAAGGTTAGAACTTATAAGATAACAACACTAACGCTGGTCTGAAGTGGGTGGAAACTTTCCTACCTTTCATCGAGAGTCTTGTGGGCATGAGTTGTTACGTCTGATGTCTTTTCACACTTGGCATTAGGCTTTCCATTTTCCAAAATCGAACTCTTTGCCTTTGACCTCGTAATCGGAATCTCTGAAGAAAGGACCTTGGGTATCTTGTGGTCATTATCGTTGTTACGTACTTCTACGGTATCCCCAATGCTAGAGTCATCAGGTTTAGCTGAAGTTTCATCAGAATCTGAATCAAAGACCGACAAGTGAAACTTCTTCCTTAGTCTTCCACCTTTCCCTTTTTCTTCCTTGTCCTTCTTTTTAGCTGCCATCTCCTTAATAGATACTGGAAAAGGAGACAAAGATTATCAAGAGAATCTCCGAGGTAATTTCATGTAAGACTATCGCTAGATGCAGATGTATTGCTTTCTCCACCAAATGACATAAGTACAGAGTATCAAATTGTGTGAAAACTACTGTTAACTTATAAAGTCACATGCAACTAGAGGCTAAGAAAAGGTATAGAAACTGAAACTGAAAATGTAAATCCACAAATCAAACATAACATAAGTATTAGCTTTAAAGAAAGAAGACACCAGAAAGAAAAAAAAAAAAAAAAAAAAAAAGATACGAAATGGCGTACTTTCATCATCGTAAGTGCTAGAGACGTGTGAATTGCGGCCAGATGGATCATCGTCGTTTATGAAACTATCACTGTAGTCATAATCATCACTGCTACCTTTCTCCATGTCTGTGTCAACAATGTCTTCTCCGTATGACTCCCTTTCAAAATCAAGTCAAGGTTACAAACAAAAAACCATAATCGATATGCACTTTTAATCTTAAAAATCATTAAGAGAGGATACGATTCATCATCATTTAGCCTTAGAGCTGTACTCCTTTCGAGGAAGTAGCCAGTGAGGTGAACGCTCCGTGGTCCGATTACAGAGAAGACAACTTCATCAGCCTCCTCAAACTCAATATTCAGTTGGCAAGAATCAACCTTTTCAGGGGACAAGACACATAAGAAGAGGGGGCTTTTGTTCCCAACGTTACACTGAAGAATGCTTCTAGTTGTTGCGTTACCAAGCCCCAATGTTGCCTATACCAAAAAAAAAGAATCAAAGATCAGCCAAATAACCCAAAATCAAAACGCCACTTCTTCATGTATATGTTAACTTCAAGCTTATTTAAACAAAGCATACATAAGAAATTAATCAAAAAGAGAAAATAAAGCGAATCAATTACAAAATCAGCCAAGTAATACAAAACCCACAACTTCGAAGCTTATCTAAACACACATAAATCAAGAGGAGCCACAAGAAATTTAACCAAACAGAGAAAATAAAGCGTCCCTATTACAAAATCAGCCACCTAACAAAAAACCCAAAACTTCGAAGCTAAAATAAACGCGCCTACATCAAGAGCAGACATAAGAAGCTTAGTCAAACAGAGAAGATAAAGCGAACCAATTACCAAAGTCTGAAAATTTAGGGTAGAAAAATTGAGATTAAGACCTGGGAAAGGTGAAGTCTTCTTGTTTCAGTAGCCTTAAGAGTGAAAGGCTTTCCTGGCTTAACTTCAACTCCTGCAAACACACGAAAACTCTCATCAACACCAAACATCGTCGGAACAAAAAAACAAAGTAAGCTTTTTGTTCAATCAAAATCGATAATTAGTCATATCTGTTTTGGGTTTAAAAGATGAAACCCACCCCAGAAAGCCATTGAATTTGATCAAAAGAATCAAAGAAAATCGTCAAAGCCGACACTTTTTTGGTCTTTTGGGTTTCTTCTCTCCGTTCTGTGTGACGAGGTTTTTTTGGTTGGCGAGGGTTTATGTTATTGGCGCCCTTATTTATTTGGAGTTTTTCTTCTTCTTTTTTTAATTGTAAAAGAACATAGTGGAAAAACGCTTCGGTTGTACAAAAATCAATTAAGGCATTATTTGACCCAAATAATGTATGTAGATGCCTCAAATCAAATCGACAATTAATTGACAGGCTGAAATAAAGTATATTAAGTGCTTTGATTGGTTTAAACGCAGCAGTTGCGGTTACGAGTGTGTGAGTTTGCGAAAGCGAACGATTGCGGTTTTGAGCGTTATTCGGCAGTTTGCACGACTGGTTAAATTTTTTAAAGCGGATCCGTTTGCAGGACAATTTTGACTAGCAAACCAACGATTATTTTAGCGATTAAACATAAAATTAGCAAAATAAATATCAGAATAATTATAAAAAAAGGAAAACTATATTATTATGATTAATATCAAAATCAATAGTTTAAAATAATTAATAAATTATAAATAAATACTAAATAATTATTTTAAAAATTAAAAAAAAATTATAATAATATGTTTTATTTCAATTATTGGGAACATCACTCAAAGTTGTGTCTAGTAATGTAATAGACTGGAAAAAATTTGCTCCAATACGTAGATCTTCTGGATTTGTCTTATGCATGATGTAAACTTTCTTCAATTGATCTAATCGATTTTTTACACGATCCCAACTCAAATCAACTCCAAATTGCTCATTAGTATTCTTCAAAATAAGTTCTTTCTCGAGTGCACTAAAACATCTAGGATATTTATCTTGACTTTGTTTTTCCACAATGATCCGTTGAAGTAACGCACATGTCATCTCGTTTGATCATGTAATTTTCTGAAGAACAAAAAAAAGAATTATAACAAACTAATTTTATAATTAATAAGATACATATTTATAATTTCTTACTTTAAATTTAAAAGTGGAAACAAAAAAAATAATATAAATAAATTAAATTAAAGTATTATGGCATTTATGCTTGTATCTTAATTTTCTTCAACTGATATGGAAAGCCATGATAATAGACTAGAACTTGATAGAAAAAGTGAAAGGTTAGGGTTTATATATATAAGAGAAGATTTTAACGTGATCTTTTTTTTTCTAGCGTGAATTTATTTATTTTTATTTTTTTTACCCAACCGCTACCGCCCGCAACCGCAAACGCTGGCGGGAAGCAGCTTTTTCATTTCAGCAGTATAAAACGATACGGAGCGGTTTACAACGATTTGTATGATTGTGATAAAACGCCACTAACCGCTACCAACCGCAAACGCTGCGTTTGCGGGTGATAGCGGATGAACCAGTCAACACCTAACTCGTCTCTGATCACAAAGAGTCTTACCAAAGAGGTTTTAGCCCATTTTCTAAAGATGTAGATAGTTAGAGGGTCAAATTTAAACTTTTTCTAAATGTACAAAATGAGCTGCTATGGAAAATGACATTAGTGATTCTAGACTTGCTATAATCCTAAAACTTGCATTTTAGTTACATTTTTAGGCCTATACATTTTGGTCAAACGATAATTTTAGTTACACTTTTATAACTATTTTGTTGCAATCAAATATCTTCTTATTTTTAGTGAAAACAGAAAATTATAACTAAGTTTTTTTATCAGTTTATTTTGGATATAGTTTCTGTATTTCAAATATAGAATAAAATAAAACTCTTATAATGGTGCTAAAATTAAAATCAATTTATGAATCAGGTTATTTGATTTGATTCATTATGGATCAATTTGCTTAACCTGAACTAATCTTCCCTTGCGAATATCCTCAATTGAGAAATCGAAAAACACAAAAAGTGACTATAGTATAATTTATTCTCCGATCATAAATAAAATTATCAAAAAAGTTTTTGTCAATTAACAAAAATTATCCTAAGATAAATGTAAAAGTTACCGCTATAGAAAACTCTACAAAAGTGACTAGTGGCATTTCCTCTTTATATGTAACCCTAAACTTTCGAGTTTATAGTTCGTCGGTTTTTTAGTTACACTTTGATTAAACAAAATATTTGGTTACATTTTTATTACTACTAGGGGTTGATCCGCGCGAAATTGTATTGTATTTGTTGACATATTTAAAAGAAATTTCTACAATATCCATTTTTTCATTAGATTTTGTATTTCAATTTTTTATATATATTTATAGTATTTAATAATTTAATATATAATATTGAGAAAATAATCAAATAATATATTAATTAAAACTTCAAATCAAATTTTGTTTGTAGATATCTTTATATTTATGTGGGTTTATGATTTTCGAATATATACAACTCTTAATTGTTGCATTCAGAAAAAAAATATATGTAATAGGCAATTAATTATTTAAAAATATTTCGATTCTCTAACATATTTCTAAAATATATTCATAATCTCTCTTTTTCTCTACACCCATTTCCCTCTCCATCTTCCTCTCCCTCTCCCTCTCCCTCTCCTTCTCCATCTTCATCTCCCTCTCCTTCTCCCTCTCCCTCTCCCTCTCCCTCTCCCTCTCCCTCTCCCTCTCACTCTCCTTTTCCCTCTCATGTTCTCTCTCTCATCAATGCAACATCTTGAACCACACACAACATATTAGACCGGTTGAAATTTTAATATTTCTCAGAATTTTCTTTTTTCTAGCCACTCTCAATGTCACCTCTCTAACCTGAGCTCTGTATAATTTTTAAGGGGAACTTCACTCATTTTATGTTTTAAAGATTAGGTTGAACATGTTAACATTTTGTGATACCACAATTTGTTTCATAAAATATGCATTCTCACATCTTTATATTATTATTTAAGTAGTCATTTTAAAAAATAAATTTTATTTTATAAATTATTACATGATATGCTATTACAAATAACAAAAATAATTAAAATAGGAAATGATATAATTGTCACTCAAGCTTTTTGAAACTTGTGCGAATATTCTTTACCTGTTAATATGCATTTAATTTTATGATCTATTATTTTATTTTTCTTTGAATTTATGTCTTTTTTATATTCTAGTGTTTATAACGGTTTTAAAGAAAATTTGAATATTTTTAGATATTAAAATTTTGGAACCGAGAATTTGTTTCTCGGATTTGGGAAAACTGGATTCAAATCCGGCTATCTCAAAATTTTATGGTACTATTCATATCTATCAAATCACATAAATAAAATAAATTATTTAAAATAATAATGAATAAATGCATTAATATATAAATTATTATTTATAAAGAATGTCTTTTCATATTCTTGTTAAATTAATGGATGATAGTTACCATGAGAATTAAAGTATAATAACACAAAATATAATAAATTATAAATTAATAAATGAATTGATGATGTGTCAAAATTTAGAGTTTAAGAAAATGATGTGGCATCATGAGGAGAGAGGACATTTTACTTTATATATATAGATTTTAGCAAATTCAATATATCTCTTTAATTCAAGTTAAACAAAAAATACTAACCAAGTTTTTTTTCTTTATTTTGATTTGATTCTAATTTCTATATTTTGGATAATAAATAAACTACGGTAATAAAACTGAAATCAATTCATGTATCATATTATTCGATTTGGTTCATTGTGAATTGATTTACTTAATCTAAATTAAACATCTCTCATAAATCATTCTCAATTGAGAGGTCGAAAAACACACGATAATGGTTATTATATGATAACTAGTAGGTATAGACTTTCTCTCGTTTGCCTCTCTATCTTTAACCCTAAAACTTACATTCAGTTTCATGATTCCTCGATTTTTTACTTAAAATATATTACTAAATTAATATAATCAAGATATCTCTTTTTTTTTTTAGTGAATAAAGAATATTAATTATATTTTATTTTTCTTCAGTTAATTTTGGATCTAGTTTCTATTTCACTTATTGGAATAGATGAAACTTTATAACAGTGCTAAAACTGAAATTAATTTACGTATCATATTATTCGATTTTGTTCATTGTGGATCAATTTGCTGAATCCAAATTTAACTTCTCTCATAAATCCTTCTCAATTGACAAGTCAAATAGCACAGATAGTAGTTACAGTATAATCTCTGTTCAAGTCATGAAAAGTCTTATCAAAAATGTGTGGGTCAATTTTGTTAAAACAGAGATAATTAGAGGATTATATTCCAAATTTTCCTAAAATTTAAGTAAAATTTTGCCACAATAGAAACTCTGAAAACATGACTAGTGATTAATAGTATTTTCTGTTGCTTTTCCATTTTTCACCTTAAAATTTGCATTCTGTTCTATATTATTAATTTTCAGTTACATTTTTTAATTACTATTTTAGATTCAAATATCTCTTTATTTTAGTGAAATGAACAATTTTAATCAAGTTTTTTTTCTTCGGCTTGATTTGGATCTAATTTCTATTATTTGAATATAGAAATAATCAAAACATTTATAATGATGCTAAAACTGAAATCAATTTGCTAATTATATTCTCTGATTTGGTTTGTTGAGTAATCTGAATTAAAGTTCTTTCATAATTTTTTTTAACTGAAATGCCGAAAAACACAAACAGTGGCTATAGTATAATTTCTACTAAGGTCATAAAAATCTTCTCGAAAATGTTTAGGTCAATTTTATAAAATGTAAATAATTAGAAGGTCGGATTCAAAATTCTCATAAGATATAAGTAAAAGTTTGTCATTAGATAAGTTGTCCATTGCTTTTACATTGTTAACCATTAAACTTGCATTCGACTTCATAGTTCGTTAATTTTCAGTTACATATATTTATTACAATTTTAACCCTAAAACTTGTGATTCGGTTTTAATCAATGTTTCATTCTTCTTTTATGATTTGATTCAGATCTAATTTCCGTTTTGTCAGAGATATAGTTAAATAAAACTTTTGTAATGGCGTTAGAACTGAAATCAATTCACGTATCACACTATCTGATTCGGTTCGTTACAGATCGATTTGCTTAATCCGAGATAAATTTCCTTTATAAATCCTTATCAACTGAGAGATTGAAAAACACACAATAGCGTCAATAGTATAATCTCTGCTCGGGTCACAATCGAAACAATTGTGGTCAATTCTGTAAAAGCATAGATAGTTAGAGGATTATAGTGGAAAAAGCTTTGATTGTACAAAAAGCAATTAAGAGATTTGACCTAAATATGTTAATGACATATTGGCCAAATTATAACAAATCAAATCGAAAAATAATTGACAGGCCAAAAACCAAGCGGTTAAAGTATATTAACTTGGCTCAGATCACAAAGAGTCTTACCAAAGAGGTTTTGGTCCATTTTCTAAAGATGTAGATAGTAAGAGAGTCAAATTTAAACTTTTCCTAAATGTACAAAATGGGCCGCTATGGAAAACGCCATTGGTGATTCTAGAGTTGCTCTCATATATAATCCTAAAACTCGCATTCGCCTTTTAATTTTTAGTTACATTTTGGTCAAATGAGAATTTTAGTTACACTTTTATAACTAGTTTATTAGAATCAAATATCTTCTTATTTTTAGTGAAAATAGAAAATTATAACTAAGTTTTTTTTATCAGTTTATTTTGGATATAGTTTCCGTATTTCAAATAAAGAAAAAAGTTAAACTCTTATAACGGTGCTAAAATTAAAATCAATTTATGAATCAGGTTATTTGATTTAGTTCATTATTGTTCAATTTGCTTAATCTGAAATAATCTTCCCTCGCAAATCTCCTTAATTGAGAGGCCGAAAAACACAAAAGTGGTAGTAATACAATTTCTGCTCTGGTCATAAATAAAATTATCAAAAAAGTTTTTGTCAATTAATTAAAATTATCCTAAGATAAATGTAAAAGTTACTGCTATAGATAACTCTACAAAAGCGACTAGCGATTAGAAAGTTTCTCTCATTTCCTCTCCATATGTAGCTGTAAACTTTCGACCTTATAGTTCGCCGGTTTTCAGTTACACTTTAATTAAACAAAATATTTAGTTATATTTTTATTACTATTTTAGTGAATTCAATATATATATCTCTTTATTTCAAGTGAAACAAAAAAAATACTAATCAAGTTTTTTTCTTCTTTATTTTGATTTGATTCTAATTTCTATATTTTGGATACTAAAATAAAATCTACGGTGCTAAAACTGAAATCAATTCACATATCACATTTTTGATTCGGTTTATTGTCGATTGATTTACTTAATCTGAATTAAATATCTCTCATAAATCTTTCTCAATTGAGTGGTAAAAAAAAATACGAATGACGGTTATCGTATGATCTCTGTTTAGATTATAATGGAAAGTGGAAATGATTTTGGTCAATCCTGTAAAATCTAGATAGTTAAAGGATCATTCAAAATTCTCCTAAGATAAATATAAATTTAGGCTATAAAAACCTCTTAAGACGTAACTAATAGTTATGGACTTTTTCTCGTTGCTTCTCTATCTTTAACCCTAAAACTTACATTCAGTTTCATAGTTCCTCGATTTTTATTACAATGTATAACTAAATTAACATATTCAAGATATCTCTTTTTAATTTTTAGTGAATAAATAATATTAATCACTTTTTTTTCTTCAGTTTGATTTGAATCCAGTTTCTATTTTCACTTATTGAAATAAATAAAACATTTCTAACAGTGCTAAAACTGAAATTAATCTAGATATCATATTATTCGATTTGGTTAATTGTAGATCGATTTGCTGAATCAGAATTTAACTTCTCTGATAAATCCTTCTCAATTGACAAGTCAAAAACACAGATAATATATAATATTTGCTCAAGTCAGTTAAAAAAAATTATCATAAATGTTTGGATCAATTTTGTTAAAACGTAGATAATTAGAGGATTATCTTCCAAATTATCTTAAAATTTAAGTAAATTTTGTCGCTATAAAAACTCTGAAAACATGACTAGTGATTATAGTATTTTCTGTTGCTTTTTTATTTTTGTTATCCTAAAACTTGCATTCTGCTCTATAGTTCGTTAATTTTCAGTTACATTTTATTATTATTATTTTTATAAATTTAAATATCTCTTTATTATAGTGAAATAAAAAAATTTTGATCAAGTTTTTTTTCTTTAGTTTGATTTGAATCTAATTTCTATTTTTGAATATATAATAAACAAAACTTTTATAATGGTGTTAAACCAAAATCAATTTGCTAATCATATTCTCCGATTTGGTTTGTTGTTGAATTTGAATTAAAATTCTCTCATAATTTTTTTTTAACTGAAATGCCGAAAAACACAAATAGTGGTTGTAGTATAATTTTTACTAAAGGTCATAAAAGTCTTATCGAAAATGTTTAGGTCAGTTTTATAAAGTGTAAATAATTAAAAGTCATATTCAAAATTCTCATAAGATATAAGTAAGAGTTTGCCCATTGTTTTTCTATTTTTAACCCTAAAACTTGCATTTGATTTTATAATTCGTTAACTTTCAGTTACATATGTTTATTACGATTCTAACCCTAAAACTTGCATTCGGTTTTTTTCTTCTCTAGTTTGATTCATATCTAATTTCCGTTTTCTCGGATATACAATCGTATAAAACTTTTGTAACGGAATTGAAATCAATTCACCTATCATAATATCTGATTTGATTCGTTATAGATCCAATTTGCTTAATCCGGGATAAACTTCCGTTATAAATCTTTCTCAACTGAGAGATCAAAAAACACACGATAACGTCTATAGTATAATCTGTTCCGGTTATAATCGAAACCGGTTATAATCGAAACAGTTGTGGTCAATTCTGTAAAAGCATAGATAGTTAGAGGATCATATTCAAAATTCTTCTAAGATAAATTTAGCCGCTATCGAGAACTCTGAAACGCAACTGGTGGTGATTCTCGCGTTTCTCTCGTCTTCTCTCCGTCTTTGACACCTAAAGCTCGCAAATCTGCTTCACAGTTCGTCGATTTCTCAGGTGCTACTAATATCTTGTTTCTGTTCACTGCGCATTTTGATATGATTCCTGGAATCTCCAGTTTAATCTCTGTTTCGTTTGATTTGCGGATTCGACATTGTCTCTAGGTTTATCGATTAGGTGTTTGCTAATCCCGTAGGAATCGGATGAGTTTCGAATCGAACTTTTTGAGAAGGTTTTTACAGTTTTAGATTTCATAGGGTTTTTGATGAATCGAAGATTCCATATCGCTATTTACGCTTGGATTTGTTGGATTTTCTACCTTTCCTGGATTTTTTTAGTGATTTTAAGATTTGTTTCTTTGTGCGTGATTTGCTTAATCATCATACTTCTGAAACTTCTTCTCTACGAGGAAATGAACTGTTTCGATTTCTCTATGGTTGATTTTTTAGTTTTCCTTTGTCCTGTTTATAGTTGAAATCTTTCTGGGAAGTTCTTTGTTTAAGTTTCATAACACACCAACAGCTTCTTAGTGTAGAGAGTGTTGCCTTAGCTCTCTTAAGATATGTTTTAACTCCTTAGCTATTCTGAATCAAGTTACTTGTAAAAACTGGGTCTTAATTCAATCAGTTCGATAAACTTTTCTTGAGTTCTTAGCTTGCTTTCTGGATGTTTCTCCTCCGGTTTGTGGATTTGCAGGTGTATTTGTTCTTGTTGCCTAGGTTCTTAATTCGGTGTCTCTGTTTTGCTTGGTTTTTCGTCATGTTCATTTGCATGAGAATATATGGTGGAGATCACCATTTTGCAATGTTTCTTTTGGTAGCTAGTCATTCACATGCATTAAACGATTTGCAACATATACGGTGTGGAAGTAGATGATTACAGTAAACCATTCACATGCATGTATATCGACTAATGTAAACTGTACGAGGCTAACATTTGCGATACTATGCTAACGCCTCCATATCTGCCCTTTTCTTTTGTTCTAGCCAGAAAAGTAGCCATCCTTGAAGCAAAACATAGCTCATTCGGCTGTTCAGGAACTTGGGAAATTTGAATGATACAGATACACGACAGGCATGGAGTGCAACAGAGACGAGGCAGCAAGGGCAAAAGAAATTGCAGAGAAGAAGTTCAAAATGAAAGACATTGCTGGGGCCAAGAAATTCGCCTTGAAAGCTCAGAGTCTGTATCCTGAGTTAGAAGGTATTTCTCAGATGTTAGCTACTTTCGATGTGTATATCGCTGCAGAAAACGAGGACGTGAACTGGTACGGGATACTCAATGCAAGTCCGCGCGATGATAATGAAACGTTGAAGAGAAAGTACAGAAAGCTTGCTCTAATGCTACACCCCGATAAAAATAGCTCTGTAGGAGCTGAAGGAGCATTCAGGCATGTAGCTGAAGCTTGGAAATTCCTGTCAGATAACGAGAAGAGAGCAGCTTATGATCGTAAGAAGAGTTTGAACACAATGTATCAGAAGGTTTCAGTGTCATCTGCTAATAGCGGCTTCTGCAATTTCACCAAGACTAACTTTACTTCGAATGTGAGGACGACGACCCAGAGACCCAATCCGCCGACCCAAAAGAACAATCCGCCGACCCAGAAGAACAATCAGCAGACCCAAAAGAACAATCCGCCGACCCAGAAGAACAATCAGCAGACTCAGATGAACAATCCGCAAAAGCCGGCTGGTAATACACAAAAAACAGGACGGAGTGTTCATCATCAGACAACAGCACCAAGCTCATTTGCTGCATCTGGATCATCTGAGGAATCAAAGTTGAATACTTTCTGGACAGTCTGCAGGAGATGCATGATGCAGTACGAGCATCTTAGAATCTATGTGAACTGTAACCTTCTGTGTCCCAATTGTCTACAGTCGTTTATAGCAATGGAAGTCCCTAAACCGGGTATGTCAAACCGTTGGAGTAGCTCCAGCCGACTAAACCGAAAGCTTGATCCAAAACCAGCTGCAACCCACGATACTACTTCAGGGGTATTTAATAACTCCAAGTGGACATTCTCAAGAGCCAACAGTGCAGCCCATGCTGCATGTGTGGTTCAAAAGGCTTATGAGAAAGTGAAGAAAGACCGTGAAGAGGCAAAAGCAAACGCGAGAAGAGGAAAGAAGAATGCCAAAAGGAAGAGCACTAATGATTCGTCTGCTGCTATTAGTTCTCATAAAAATAGGAAAGTTATAGGAGAAACCGATAACAATGGTTGCTCTGGTGGAAGAGGTGTCGCTTACTATATGACTGGTGAAACAGGAACAAACTTGGTGAAGTTACATGAAACCAAAGAGAAAGCAGATAAGATTAGCAAGGAGCGTAAAAAGGCGCGTTAGCAATCTGAATCAGTGGAGGCATAATTGTGATTGATTGTGTTTGTTATATATCATCTGCAGGCTATAACCAACAGATTACTAGGAAATAATTTGTAAGTTGGTCATTTGGTAATCTATTGGTTTCTAACATCGTAGAGAGAGATGAATCTTTTTGAGTAGAGGACACAAAACTGCCTTCTTAACATTTTAAGACAGACTCAGTGTTGTGTCAAAGTGGTTGTTGTAGCAAAAAGTTAACTTGGTTTCATCATGACTCTAGTAAATGCTCTGCTTTAGTGCCCTAATTAAAAACCGTTGCTTTGATTTCTTTGTCTGTTTCAAGGAAGAAGATGAACGTTAAAAGCTCTGATTATAAATTATTCATAAAAGTCTGTATCTTTCTAAGAAAATACAGAGGTCAAAAGGAATAAATGTTAAAAACGGAGGAAGATGCGCTGCATCACGATTCACCAAGAGGCAAGTAGAACATAATAAATATAATTATAGGAAAAAAAAGGAATGTGAGAGATCAATATTGGGATTTACGTAACCTCTTCCCAAGAACCCTGACCCTAGTAGTATATATCAAGGCAAATGCTAAGTCTTTAAACCCACTAAACTAGAGAGGCGAGAGAAAGAAAAAACTTTTTGTTATCTTCTACTTTAGAATCTGAGTCCGAAAATGGTGATCATCAACGAGCATGCTCGAGTCCCTGACACTGAAAGTGACTCTAGCGGATCCACTGAAAGTGATTCCGAAGAGAAAAGTAAAGAGTCCAGCGAAGATGAAGAGTCCAGTGAAGATGAAAAGTCGAGTGAAGAAGAAAAGGAAGAAAAGAAGAAAAAAGAGAATCTCTATCTCAATCTGAAGAAACCCGCCAATGAAAGTCAGAAGAACAAGGCTGGCTCTGGTTCACAATCGGAACCTAGGTCTCAGGGTGATGTTAAGAGCAAGCCCCTCGATCTAAACCAGAAGAAACCTGCTCTTAATAATCATATCAACCTTAGTTCTGGTTCTGAAGAGGCGAGTGAAGAGGGCTCTGGTGCCAAAGAAGAAGAAGAAGAGGGAGATATTAGTTCTCAGAACAAGGCTGTTGCTGTGGAGAAAGAGAATCTTGATCTCAATCTGAAGAAAGCCGCCTCTGAAAGTCAGAACAAGGCTGTTGCTGTGGAGAAAGAGAATCTTGATCTCAATCTGAAGAAAGCCGCCTCTGAAAGTCAGAACAAGGCTGTTGCTGTGGAGAAAAAGAAGCTTGATCTCAATCTGAAGAAACTTGCCTCTGAAAGTCAGAACATGGCTGGTTCTAGTTCACAAGGTGCTGCTGAGAAGAAACCTGAAACAGAGATTACTGATCTGAAGCTTGATCTGGCTGCCAAGCGTGCGGTGGGAGATATGGGCCTACATGACTGCTCGGAAAGAAAAAGGATAAAGAATACGGTAAGTGGTAGAGAAGTTGAAAGCCTCCTGAGGACTGACACAGGAGCCTACTGTTTCGGGTTTGAAGAAGGGACTGTGAGTCAAGTCTGGGAAATGGAAGTGGATAAAGAGGAGAAAAGAGACTTGGTGGAGAGGATCAAGAACCTTAAAGCTTCACACTGGACTCTCAAGGTGAAAGAAGCTCAGCTCCGAGCTGATGTGACCAAATGGATTATGGATGCGCTTAGGAAGAACCAGTGATTAATCTTCCCAATGTTTTAGTTTCATGATTTGTGATGTTCCCTTTTTTTCTTGTTTGGTTTTTCAGTTCTACATTTTCGTATCGTTTGTCTCTCTGTTTTGGACCTTTTGGTAATTTTAACCGCCGAATAAATTATTTATATTTCATTGAGTCCTGCAAGAATTGAAGAAAACTTAAAGGTCATTTTGATCCTTTAGCCTTAACAGGGAAGATGAATATAGGTAGATCATGTTAGAGAATGAAGGTTTTGAAATTAGGGCTTCAAATGGTCATTGAAACAAATGGATCTGGATCAATTGTAGGTTCTTACAATCATAGCTATGAAATGTCGTAAGAGAAGAAAGATGTGACTTGTAAGAGAAGAAACCTGACTTTTAGGGCTTCTAAAGTTGTTTGTTAACATTATATAAAGTTGAGAACGAGAAGATTGGCTCCTTAAAAATGTATGAAAGAAAATACAATACATCAAGAATAGTTTAGTTATGTGGAAATACTTTTTTGTCTGGTCTTACTTCTCAAATTGTTGTTCATGTGATGTCTCACGAATGATTTCCTTAGAATGAAGAATTTCTTTACTGTTGTTGTCAACTTTTGTGCATTTCATTTGAGACAATTGTCCTGTTTTCTTGTGTGATGATTTTTATGACATTCTCGAATACCGTGACCTCAGAATTTTGATGGACTGCATTTTCTTTAGTCTGGATCATAAAACGGAGGTATAAATTTCAGCCATTTTAGGAAAATGAAACACATAAAATTGGGAAAGTAAACACATTAAACTTAATTAATCAATACCAATGTTTCTAAGACAAATCTAATTCATATGGAGGTGGTAAAAAAAAAATATTTACAATATAACTTTTTTACCTTTTAAAATTGAGAAACAAAATTGGTTTTGCAAGTAATAAGATTGCTTGTTGATAAAGGAAAAAAAAAACACGCGCTCTCCTAAATTTTCTTTTCATCATGAGTTAATCTTAAGGAAAATACGAAAATCCATAGTTTATCAAAACATTTAAAAGGAAACAAAAATTGTATATACGAAGAGGCAAGGTACGTAATCAACAAAGGAAGAGTGGAATTAGAAAAACAAAATTTGGTTTTACAAAATGTTAACAAGTAGCCACGGATCAAGTTAATTGATGATTGCCCCTTGGTCAAATGATGTTTCTCAAAACTTAGACTTACGAAGAGCCAAAGGAACGTAATAAAACCAACAGCAAGAGTCGGGAGAAGACATTTCACGTAGAAATCGAAAGAAAAAAAATTCATAGAGAGAAGAGATGAATCTGAGACTATATCTAAGAGAGTTTGAGAAAAGTTTCGATATGGAAAAAGCAGTGTGTAACCACGGTTTTTTCATGATGGCGCCAAACATTTGGAACCCTAAAACAAAGTCACTAAGTCGGCCTTTAACCGTTTCAAACTCGTCTTCGGTCAACGTGACCATCTCTCATCCTCGCACTCTCTCTTTTCTTGTAATCCAAGTTCATGGCATCAACAATGTCTCAAGAGTAGACGAAGAACTCATCTTGCAACAAGTGGCGAGGATGCTTAGAATATCACCCGAGGACCAACGTGACGTGACCAAGTTTCAAGAAGTCTATGAAGCCGCAAAGACGAGTGGTTTTGGTCGAATCTTCCGCTCACCATCTCTCTTTGAAGATATGGTAAAATCTATCTTGTTGTGCAATACTACTTGGGAGAGGACACTAGGTATGGCTTCTAAACTCTGTGTCTTGCAATCAAAGCTAGCCGATGGCACGGTAAGGCCGCCCTCTTCTCGTCAATATAAAAAGAGGAAATTAGTCCCGAAACCTAGGAAAGAAACAAGGGGAAACTTCCCTAGTGCCAAGGAATTAGCGAGTCTTACCAAAGAATTGATTAATGAGCATTGTAAACTTGGTTATAGAGCAAACTGGATAGTCAGACTAGCAAAAATGGTCGTGAGCGGGAAACTGAATCTTGAAGAGATGGAAAGTAGAGAGATGGAAGCAGAACAAGTTATTAAGAAACTGATGAACTTGAAAGGCTTTGGTTCTTTTGTAACTGCAACGGTGCTTATGTGTCTTGGTTATTACCATCTTGTTCCATCCGATACCGAGACCCTAAGACTCTTACGAGAGGTATATCTCTATATATTTATATACTTAGTTCTCTTCATAAATAGAAATTTTAATTAATCTAATCTACTGTAATGTTCTGTTTGGAGGTGCATGGAGAGGAGGAGTATTCGAAAGAGACGCTAGAGAAAGCAGCACAATCATTCTATGACAAATTCTCTCCATTCCAGTCTTTGGCCTACTGGTTAGCTTCTAGTATTTTTAATTTTCTAAGGCATATTAGTTTCTGATATATATATATATATATATATATATATATATATATACTTATATTGCTTCTTCTTGCACTATATAGGTTTGATCTAATCCAAAGCTATGAAACAAAGCTTGGCAAGCTTAGCGAGTTGAGTCAGTGTGACTACAAGAGTGTTGGAGGATGTTCTTACATCAAGGCAGACCAGATGAATATCTCTCTTTCTTTCTAAATGAAACATTATATTTTACTTTCATGCATGGTTTGCTTTTTACAACTCTGCTTTGTTGTGTATTTACGTTCTAAATGCCTCTTGTTCGGTTTCTTATGGTTTCACAATTGATTACCATAGTTTTCCATCAATCAAGTGGGCATAATCAGATCAGCCTTTCTTTATCTTGTTCAAATCTTGAGTCTTCGTTTCCTATAAAAGTGTTTAAAAGGAGGAACAGTTTAATGTTGGAGACTGAAGACTTTGTTCTTTGCTCCTTTGGCTTGATCTCTGTTAGCTAAGATTATGAAGATTCAAGACCTCTATAATTGATACAACATATAACTGAAGTTATTTGTTATTTCTTCTTTGTCCCTTCTTTTTTTGCTTGATATTCTCCACTTAAAATGGAACCAATATAAAGCTCTGATTAATATAGACTTACAGAAAACATTGTTCGTTTCTTTTCTTCATTTTTTATTTGTTACTCCAAATTGTTTTATAATGAGATGGTTTGGAGTTGTATGTGAAGAACTCAATGTTACTTTGACTCAAATAAATCATTTCATACCAAAGGAACAATCCAAAATAAGATTAATCAAAACACCAAAATAAATTTTACTTCTACATGGGACTTTAATAAAATCTAAAAAAAAAACTGAAACATAACCAAACATCCAAAATAAGATTTAACCAGATAAGCAAAGATCCATAACAAAATAAACCAGAAAAAAAAACCAAAACCCTAATGGGTTGACTGATGCTTAAGCGAACAAAATGGCGGCCACATGATGCTCAAAGTCACTCTTTTGAGCAGTAACTTTCAGTGCTCTCTCCTCTAACATTCTCCATTTCTTTTGGATTGTCTTCTTGGTTTCAACTGACATGGCATTCCATTTTTTCTTCAATGTTGCTTCATCTATTCCGTAACTAGCCATGGAAGTACCAACAAAAGAATCTAAGATATCTTCTTCACGAGATGCAGTAGAAGGAGATTGCAACTTCTTTGCCATTTGAGGTTTCAAAGAGAGAGAGATTTCGAAAGAAAAATTAGGCGTTAGAGAAAAGAGAATATGGAGAATAAGTCTGGCTTTATAATTGATTAAAAGTTAAAAAAATTATTAATAATTATCTCAGCCGATACACTCGGCCAATTATCGCAAACTAATTAATAATCATTTGGATTTCCCGATATTTTGGTTTGTGTGTTGGTTTCTAACCAATCTAATAAAAGAAGTAACTTTTTGAAATATTCAATGATAATTTTAAAAAGTTTAACTTGTTGAAAAAAAGTATTTTCATCGCCTTAGCACTTTTCTTTCTTGTTCGCGCCTTGCGCAGATCAAAAAATTTAAAAAATGATAATCATAATTTTATGCTTGTTGGGATCAGATTTCACCCAAACCAGTTTAAACCATGTCAAAGAACGTTTAAACATCAAGGAAAGCCGATTTGGCGAGAGGAACCAGAGATTTATCAGATATGGGCCGAAGGAGTAGGCCGAGCTGTAAATGGGCCGAGCTGCATTGAGGAAATAAGCAGGCCGAGCCGTGACATCCAGATGGGCCGAGCCGTGCACAAGAGAAGACGGGCCGAGCCGCAGACAAGAAAAGATGGGCCGAGCCGAAGGATGCAAGCCCACTGAAACCCTATGCAAAAGCATTATGACGGTAGTCGCATGACAAGATAAGGAAAAATTCTGAAAACTCTCCCGAGATTCTCGCCTAGGCGATTTAGAGGATTATTATAAATAGACGATTTATGCGATTCATTATGTAACTTTGGCAACCCTAAGCAATAAAGACTTAAACACTTTTCCAGCAAAAAATTTTCTTTTGATCTTACTGTTCTTGCGATAAACCCTAGAAATTTCAGATCCCTTAAGTTTTCCTTAACAAATTTTTGGTTGTGCAAGTTTTGACTCACACAATTTGGCGTCGTCTGTGGGGATATCGAAATTTTCTTATTCTAAATCGACAAGATTTTAAGATCTGAAGAACATGGCGAGCAACACCACCGACGATAACAACAACAACAACAACAACGGTGCAGAGAAGGACGCTCCATCATCAGGCACGACGACGGCGACAACTGAAACCCAAGAGGAGATGCGAAACATGATGGCTGCGTTGATGAAGAAGATCGACGAGCAGGACAAAAGAAACGAGGCGATTACAGAAAGGCTCGACATGATGACGGCCGAGAGACGACACCCGACTTGGAGAGCCGGAATCTCCGATCCGACGGATGGAGTCCGTAGACGTTTTGATTTCTCAACACCTGCAGGAGCCTCAGGTAGCGGCGCAAGAAATCCCTTGGCTCCACCAATGTTTCGTCCCTTGGCGACAAAACTCCCGCAGCAACCCGAATCAACATGACCGAGCCGTCTCCCCTCTGTCGGAACCCAAGGAGACGAGCCGACAAAGAGGAGAACGACGCGATCGACATGGATGCCCAGCCAAACGACAGAACGACGAACTCGCACCAAAACGGCTCGGCTCGGCGAATAAGCCAAAAGGAGCTCGCCTCGCCACTAAACGGCATTCGAACCGACGAGGTCACTGACCCGGCTCGCGACGACAACCCAACTGAAGAAGAAGAAAACCTCCAATGGGTCGAGCAGGCAGAGCGCGAAGATGAGCCGAGGAGAGAAGATCGGGAACGACTTCGCCAATCGAAGGAAATGACTCACGCACAAACCCTCGAAATCGAAGAGCTGCGAGCCTCAATGGCTTGGACAGTGGCCGAGATACGCGCCATGAAGTCTCAAGTGCATAACGCGACGAGTGCCGCGCCCGAAATCGATCGAATGCTTGAAGAGACCCAGAGAACACCATTCACGGCGAGAATCATGGAGGCTCAGATTCCCGAGCCCAGGAAGGTGAGAATCCCATTCTACGAAGGAACGACCGACCCGAAGGCACTCATCACATCGTTTTGGATAGCAATTGGACGAGCTTTCACAAAGAACGCTGCCAATCTGACCGAGCGGGAGGTAGATGCCGGATATTGTCTACTCTTCGTAGAACATCTCAAAGGAGCCGCGCTCGAATGGTTTTCGAGACAGGAGCGCAATTCAATCGGCAGTTTCCAACAACTCTCCGCTTTGTTCCTCAAGTAGTATTCGATGTTCATGGATAGAGGAACTTCGGATACCGACCTGTGGAAGCTATCCCAAGGACCGAATGAACGGCTTCGGGACTACATGGCAAGGTTCAAGGCGGTCGTATCCAAAGTAGAAGGAATAAGCGACAAGGCTGCACTCGAGGCTCTGAGGCGGTCCTTGTGGTACAAATCTGAATTCCGACGGGAAATGACCCTCAACACGCCACAAACGATTCAAGACGCCCTACACCAGTCATCAGACTTTGTCGTAAACGAAGAGGAGATGAAAAATCTGGATGAGCACTACGAAGCGACGAAAGCAGCGATTCGGAGCTCAATCTTGACGTACCCTTCGAAGAAAGGTAACCCATCCAACAACGCGACAACACAGAGCTCGGACGAACCAAGAAGCGGAGGTGCCCACAACTACCAAGTAGGCACCGGACGCGGAAGAGGAGAGCCGCGCAGCAACACTTGGGTAAGAAGACCCACTAACTACGATGGAAAGGCGTTCTGCGAGTATCACCAAACCTACGGACACTCGACGGCGTAATGCCGAACTCTAGGAGCCAAACTCGCGGCTAAGATGGCAGCGGGAGAGCTCCAGAGCGCGGTGAATTTTAAAGACCTCGTCCCTAGTGAGCCAAAAGAAGGAACCGAGCCGAGCGTCACAGCAGAACCCGCAAAACCCCGACGAGGCGATAACACCAAGCGCGACAGGAGAGGTCAACCCAAAGAACGAGCCGAGACAAAGAATCAACATGATCATGGGTAGATCCCAATATTACCAAGACACGGTGTCTTCCATCAAGGCTTATCAGCGCCGAGCCGAAGCAAAGGAAAATTAGACAGAGCCGACCGATATTCCGAACACGGTGATATCCTTCGCCAAAGAGGAAACGGCAGGGATAGATAGACCACACAACGATCCATTAGTGATCGAACTGACGATCAGAGATCACGATGTAGCGAGAGTACTCATCCATACCGGGAGCTCGGTAGATGTTATTTTCAGGGAGACACTCAGAAGGATAGGAATCGATCTCTCCGAGGTAACGGCGGTCCCCAAACCTCTAACCAGATTTCAGGAGAAACAACAATGACTATGGGCATAATTAGCCTCCTTGTGATAGCCGGCGGAGTCACTAAGATCGTCGAATTCTGCGTCACCGATCACCCAGCAATCTACAATGTGATTATGGGAACTCCATGGATCAATGCAATGAGGGCGGTCCCTTCCACCTATCACCTCTGCCTCAAATTCCCAACTCCAGCAGGCATCAAAACGATTTGGGGAATCCAGAAGGAGTCACAAATGTGTTTCTTGGTGGAGCACAAGTTGAGGAACCCCGTCACCGATGCACGAGCAGACGTAGATCGCAAAAAGCTGAAGACGGACCGAGAGCTGCAAAACGCGCGCCGAGCCGGTAAGTGATGCGGTGGACTCGGTGCATAGACGAAGCGCATCCAGAGAGGCGCGTCGAAATCAGAACTAAGCTAGAAGAACCACTGAGAAGCGAACTCCTTTTCCTCCTCAAGGAGAATATCAACACCTTTGCCTGGACAGCGGAGGACATGCCAGGCATAAGCATAACCAAATCCTGATGCATCCCGATGACCGGGAAAAAACGGCGTTCATAACCGATCGCGGGATATACTGCTACAAAGTCATGCCGTTCGGACTCAAGAACGCAGGGGCAACATATCAACGGCTCATCAATAAGATGTTCGCAGATCAGCTCAGAAAAACTATGGAGATATACATCGACGATATGTTGGTCAAATCACTCGAAGAAAAAGACCATATCGCGCACCTACGAGAATGCTTCGAGCAGTTGAACAAACACAACATGAAACTGAACCCGGCGAAGTGCAGATTCGCGCTAACCTCAGGAGAGTTCCTCGGCTACTTGGTG